TCTGAATTTTTAAAATCAATTTAAAAAATTATTTTAAAATGATTAAAATCTTGAAAGATACATGTTCTTTCATGAAATCCTGTAAAGCTTCAGTTATATTTTTCTTCAGTGTTTATTTCTTACAGCATCTGTGATACTATGCAGTGGAGCCCATTTCCTGAAAAGGTTTATGACCTCTAGTTTAGTCTCCCTCAAGTAAGCTGTCCTATATGCTTCTATTTGCTGATGTGGAAACAGAGTGCGGCACTTGAAGATACCATAGTAATTAAGAAAAAAAAAAACCTGTCCCTGTTACACCCAGCCTTCTCTCTCTCTGTTGTTTCCTGTCTATCATAATGAAGAATATATAAAGTTTTTGGCTGTATCTTGTTTGTTTTTTTAAAAAAGCAAAGCAATTTGTGCTTTTAAAATACCTACAAGTAAGGAGAATTTTTGTATGCTCACATTCATAATTTGAATGCTTTGAAATATGGCTCTTATCTTAGATATTTTATTCTCATCCTCAGATATTTAATTCTCATCCTTTCTTCAAAGAGATTGGAGTAACATACATAGAACTTAACCATAGTCTGGTGGTTTAATTGTGGCTTAGAGTGTTGTATGACTCCAGTTATTGTAATGTGTAAATTATCATTTACATTCTGTCTAGATTAATAAATTATGATTTCTTTGACAAGCTACAATGTAACATATCATGGCTTAGTATGATAATGTGAACTTGGCATTAGATTGTCTCAAAAAATATGTCACTGTGACTATTCAAGCATATAACCAAATGGCCTTCAAAGAATTTATGAATTTATTTATTTATTTATTTATTTATGGGTTTATATGGCAGCTCAAATTGCAGAATGCAACTCCATTCTCCAGTGGTGTACAATAAAAGTATAATAAACACCACAAAAACAGCTAAAACCCATAACAACAAAATGCATGCTAAGGGAACCCCACCATATGTCATACTTCACGGCAGGACAAGCATATCAACATCCCGGTCCCAGTGCTCAAGGACCCACAAGTAATCTGACCCTGCACTATGTAGGGCTTATAATTGATAAATAGAACCTTGAATTGCACCCAGAAGCCTACTGGGAGCCAGTGCACCTCACAAAGTAAAGCAGTTACATGGGTATACATACTGAGGTACACCCATAACTACTCATGCTACTACATTCTAGATCAGCTGGAGCTTCCAGATGGTCTTTGGCAGCATCGTACTAGTGCAGCCAAGAGATGACTAAGGCATGAACAGCTGTGAGTATTGACTCCTGGACCAGGAATGAGCACAATTGGAATAGTAGATGAAGTTGTGCAAAAGACTTGCTGGCCACAGCTGCCACATGTTCTTCAATGAGGAGCCTCAAATCCAAGAGGAGTCACAGTGGATTCAATTGGATCCCAAAAGGAACTTGGGGTTTTCCCTAAGGAACTGGAGGGCAGTTTGGCTGAGGCTTTGGCTGCAATTTGGAATAGGCATGTGACAGGGGCCTTGGACCACACTGCTCCCTGTGCACTGATTTGGGGCACGGGGCATATACAAATGTAGGTAGTCCTTGTTTAGTGACTACAATTGGGACCGGCAACCATCACTAAGTGATGTAGTTGCTAAGCGAAATGTGATTGCAATGGAGTTGCAATGTCACTTCCCATTTGGGCATTAAGTGAGTCACCGCAAGTCATTAAGACATCACGTGACTGTTAATTGCAATTTTCCTGCCAGCTTCTCCATTGACTCTGCTTGTTGGAAACCAGTTGTGAAGAACACAAATGGTGATCATGTGACCCAGGACGCTGCAACAATCATAAACACCCACCTAGCTGCGAAGCACCCAAATGTCGATCACATGACTAAAAGGATGCTGTGACAGTCGTAAGTGTGAGGGCTGGTCCTAAAGTTATTTTTTTAGCACCATCGTAACTTCAAACGGTTGCTAAACAGGGCAATCATTAAGCAAGGTCTATATGTGTGAATATTTGTATTTAAAATTGCATTTATAGTTCTTTCTCTGACATAAGGCAGCTCAATGATCACCCGGGATTGACTAGGAAGGTACCAGTATCTTTCTCTGTGAGTCACATATTTCTAATTTAAAATCTGTACTTTATGTAGTATCAGAAACCAAAGCCAAATGTTATTTGCTTAGTTCTCAAGATTTAGCTAATTTCAGAAGTTCTGATATTTAATGTAGACCACCTTCTTTCTTGTCTATAACACAGTGATTTAATTACCCCATGCCTATAATGTTTATATATAATTTTATTAAAAGTTTTAAAAACAAGATAAAAACTAATACAAACTAATATACAGTAAAGAAGAAAAAAGAAAAAGAAAATCAGAGAGAGCTAAAAGTGCAAGAAAGAAAGAAAAAGGAAGAGAAAGATAGAAAAGAAAGAAAAAAGATACAACCCCCTGTGCCTGTAATGAATATGCATTTCCCAGAGTGATGGCACATATTTCCAATCCCCCACTACTACCACTTCCTGTTTATGGAGTTTGAATTTCCCATAGGCCTTATAAGACCAAGGACAACACAGTATTCTTTCTAGCTAGAGGACAATAGCATGGGTAGTCCAATATGTTTGTCATTCCACCTACCTGGAGCAGAAGATGACTGAATGTATCATTTTCAAGAAATCTGCATTGGTAAAGAAAGGAAAGTAAATGTGTGTGGCATCTTAATAAGGAAATATTGATTGTGACTCTGTTAACATTTTCAAAGTAAAACAGCTGCTGAGAAATGAACTTCAGGAATGTTCAAATCAGGAAATGTCTAATTACTTCTTGAAGGGTTGCAGAATTTTCAAGCAATTTCTTCCTGGGGCACGTTGTGCTGTCATTTTTCAGCTTGCTTATGGCAAACTATCTCATAAGATAAAATAACTGCAGGATATAACTTATGAGAGGAATACTATTCCTCATGAAAGGATTTTGTTAATCAAAAAAGCAAGCTAGTCTCTGTGACTAAGAACCCTTTTCCAGTATTAATTAGGGTGGATGACTTACAAAAAAAAGAAATTTTGCTATCTTCTTAGTTGAGTGGACAACTAGCATTGGCATATGTAGAGAATTGAATGTGTGTACCTGTATTTTTATTAATATAATTTTGCTGCTAAATATTGTCAGTTTTTTCACAAGCAACTGTATCACTGTATAGTATAGTTTTTATTGTGCCATAAATTTTAATAACTATTGTATTTAGTTCAGATGTGTAACTGTGTTGATATTCTTGCTGAATATATAGCAGTATAAAATGATGTTACATTTGAATGAATTGCTTATTCAAATTCCATGAAATTTAATAGCATTTTAATAATACAAAGTATATATAATACAAAAAAGGATGAAGATTCTGATACTGATCATTCAAAGAAACACATATTCCATTGCTAAAGAAGTAAGGTAAAAAATAAAATAATTCAAAGAAAAGAAAGAGACTAAATAACTATGTAGCAGTCATTTGTTCCTTAAATCTTGTATGCTTCAAAGCACACAAAAATATCAGAATCCTGAAATGTCATACCCGGACTCACATGAAACAGCCATTTTTTCTATGAGGTTGACAAGCTGTGATCAATCTTCTTCACTGTTCTCCTTTTTTGATACATTAGAGGTGGTAAACAATTCTACTTTCACTGTTAAATTAACAACTGTTTCTTGTGATGTTCAGTTTCAAGCTCTGTACAACTATTCTAACAAGTTCTCAAATCATAGATTCCCCATCTCTGGGCATACTGGTAAACCAAGCAGCAAATCATCTATGGTAGTGCTTATAGCTTACAAAGATTAAGTCATGCAAGTTCTTCTTTTCCCTTTCACTAGATAGTACCACATTGCTTAGAGATCTGTTGCTTATAGGTATTGGTGTTGCATATCAAGTCTATTCTGGGTGGCACCCAGCACCAACTCAAGGCAATTTTTAATATGTACATTGCTTACATAGCTATAGGTTATTGTGAGAAAAGATAAGAGAAATAAAAATGATAAGCCACTTTAAGAAAATGTCAGATAATGTTGGACCCGAAGGGTCAAGTTATAAGTGTGTGATAGAATGTTTTCCGCTTCATCTGTCTTGGCTGAAATGTTGATTGACAGCTGAAGTTACCAATGATCACTCTTCCATTAAGTCTTTGTCACTTTATCTGTAGTTGTCAGTGTTGTGTCCTTGGCAGCAGGGAGTAAGGACCAAGTAATGTCCTGCAGATCTGCAAGCAAGCAGTTCTTGCAGTACTTTGGCTATTCCAGAGTGGAACCAATGTAAGCTTTCTTAGAAGAAAAGAAAAACCTTTCCTTTAACTGCTAGATGCTGTTTAAAAACCAGATGGGTGAATTTCACTGCTCTTTTAATATATTTTTAATATTTGTTATAACTTTGTTGGTGCAACATTATGTAAAAACGATTAAAATTATGCTTTTCATAAATATTGGACAAAAATGTGCACACACTGTTGGGAAAATGATGGGAGTTGCAGTTAATATATGCAAAGGTCATCAGCTTGGGAAAGACTTTATTAGATGTCTACCATTTCTTTCATAAATCTTCACAACCCAGCCGGAATACCAATACGGAGATCTAATTTTTAGTTTGAGATTTCTGTTGTTCCTCTGAACTTTTTGTTTGTATTCATGTTATGATTGCAGACATTTTTAAAAGATAAATATGGGAGTTTTAATTAAAAGGTCCTGTAATGTCTGCACTTCAACAGTTCCTTTTCTTTTAAATCTTACCCTATGAACTTTTCTTACCTTAACTCTGGATCGCAGATCTATCAATCCCATGTGTAATATTACCTTTTATCTTTGATATTGCATTTAACCATGCACATATTTGGCAGTCTTTAAGCCAAAACATTCATCATATACAGGTTAATGTGGGGGAGTGCTGTCTGTTACACCAAAAGTCCATATGGTGTATGGACAAATTTTGCCATATTCAAAGTCTGCTGAACCATACTTCAGATTTAATGTCTAAGTTGGAAAACATTGATTTGTTTTATTTTAGAGCTTGGATGAATATGATGATGATGAAGCAGGGCAAAAAGAACGTAAAAGAGAAGATGCAATCACACAACAAAATACAATACAAAATGAATCTACTGTTGTGGATCCAAATGCTTCATACATATTACAGGTGAGATGTTTTAACACAGATCTACAAATACCTTTTATTCTTGTTTTGAATAGTTTTGAATAGTTTTGAAATGAGTATTATCTCTGACAGCTTTAATTATTTAAGTAGTATCTTTTTTTTTCTTTTCATAAAGAATGCTTTACAGTTATTGAAATTCTTCCATCATTACATAGGCTTTTCATTATACCAGATATTACAGGAAAGCAACTTCTGAAAATGATAGCCCTCAAATAAATATGGACAAATTTGAAAAAAAGATACAGAATTAATTTTATTTATTGTATACAATGGTATGTATTTCCCATATTTATTTAATAAACCATTACACTTACGAAATATTTATTTAGCCATCCTTTTGGGCTAAAAAATCTTACCAAGGCAGCTTCCATCAAAGAATTCTGTTCATAATTGCTCAGAACTAGCACTTTGTTTAGTAGAACCTACTTCCTGATAAGCACACGTAGCACTGCACCTTCAAAAGTAAGCTCCATTGGCTCAAGTGGCTTAGTTCCATGTAAATGCAGTCTGCTACTTTCTTAATGTAAAGAACTAGAAACTTTACTGAATATTTCACATTGAAAACTGAAGTTTTACAATTCAAACAGGAATGGTTATTTTAAGAAAAAAAAATCTCATCTTGCTCGTTTTGCTCATTTTAAGAGCTAAAATATTTCATGGGAGTTTTATTCCAATAATATTCAAATTCCAAATTTTGCTATATTTTTCTGATTTCTAGAATTCACTTCCTACCACTGAACTATCAGTTTAATTTTAGTTACTCCACATTTGTCTTACATCAAAATATTGTTAAAGCGCAAAGACAAAACAAAACATGGCTCATTATTTATCATATTATTTCATATAGTAGCGCCTGTGTGTCTGTGTGTACTCAGAAGCCATTACATGTTGCTAATAATAAAAAATTCAATAAAAAATATTGTACCAGTAATGTAAAAGCCAGAATGAAAATCTCAAGTGACCATTTAATTGCGTGGGAATGCTGAGATACTTGATGAGTTCCCATTAGGAAGCAGAACTGAAAGCCTGCCTGACGTCTGTTTCCCAAAACCTTTGTGGCTGCATGTTAATTTCCAAATGTTTCTTCCAAACAAGTGTAGCAAATTGTATGACATTTGTTTAATAAAATGCCAAAGAGGAAAATCTATTTCTTGCTTTTTTTCCCTACTTTTGTTTTGTTCTGTTATTACAGAAGTAATAAAAAAACTACTTGGTAATTGGTGAAGAGTGAAGGGTATTAGAACAACTTTGAAAGTGTGAATTATATGTGTGTATTCCATAATGCTTGTACTTAATTATATCTTAATGTTGTGGAGTATAGCAAGATCAAAATTAGGTTACGGCAGGGGTGAACACATCAGTTTCTTTGTCCATTTTTCCACTTCCAGGATGAGAGGTGGTGACAGACTGTCTAAAACTGGTCTGTAAGTATTTGTAGCAGGCACTGTAGTGATCTCCTCTAGTCCTTGAAGCTGTGTCCCCTGGCCATGCTGGCAGGGGAATGATGACTGGAGTTGAAATTGAACATATTTGGAAGGCTGCCTATGGGCAATACAGGTAGTCCCCAGTTTAAGAATGAATTCTGTTCCCAAAGTCTGTCCTTAAGTCTAATTTGCATGCAAGCTGGAACAGTATTATTGTATAATACTGTATCAGTAGTAATGTGTAATGAACTCGAACCATGGTGTATTTAACTCGAATCATTGTGTATTTAACTCGAATTTTGCTACAATAGGCTCCGTTCGTAACTGTGGCTCATCTGTAACCTGGGCGTTCCTAACCTGGAGACTACCTGTACTACATGATATATTTAAGTGCCATATCTCTTGTACTTTTAATTTCTGTCTATTTATCTGTATCCTCCACTTTGGGGTGTTTTCATAAGCTGCTTTGAGTGCAGATCAAGGCAAAGCTGGGATATAAATGAACAACAATAAGTTGCATTTGCTCCCTTCTTCCTTTATAAAATACCATTTCTGATTAACACCATTTCAAAGCTGCTGTTCTAGAGCTAAGCCTCAGAATGATTTATGCTTATTGCTCTCTGTATTTCTAGCATGTAAACTCCTCTGTCTATGGATAAAGAATTATAGAAACAATTCTCTGTAGTATCTGAGAGTTTTCATTGGGCTCCATGGTCCAAATAAAATGTACTGGATCTTTAGAGTGGCAAACAAAAACCTTCATGACTGTGAGACAGCATCTCACTCTAGATGGTCTTTGCTGGAAAAAAAATATCTTTATATTGATCAAATAATGGTATTTTGAGACACATCAGACACACATCTGTAGTTCTGAGTTATAATTATAAATCAAATAATAAATATTAACTTAGATATTTGTGTTTTTTTTTATATTTTAACAGGACACATCTAGGACCATTTCAAATAGATACAAAAGGTAAGAAATTGCTTAGTAGATTACTGAAAACCCTACTTGATGTATCTCTATAGAAAGCAAACACTCAAATTTGGTACTAAACTTCTTTGTTAAGTAGTACATGTCATTTGAACTCTACAAAACCTAGAATTGCAAGTTAAGACTGATGCCTTCACATACTGTTTGTCAATGTTGTATGTATACCACTGGTGAGACCCAAAAATAGGCTTAGTGGAACAGAGGATTCCATGTCTAATTACAAGCCTGAAGGTTTCTGCTCCCTCTATGCACTTATTTGAGCAGTTTCAGAAATTGTATGCTTTGACAGATTTCTCAGCTCAGCCTTGAATATAATTGGCTTTTTTGTTTACTGTTATTAGTTTAGTGAGCTATAGCCTTTTGGAGTGGGAAGAGGAGTGGAAAATAAATTTTAACATTAAGAAGATTAATTGGAAAGATGGGAGAGACAATACCATTTTTAATTAATTAAAATTAACAACATGTCTATAAATGTATAAATGACCTTCTCAGAAAAAGAATTCACATTCTGTAGGATGTAAGATTTAAATACCTAAGAACAAATATATTAGCACAGCCTTCCCTGGCTATCTAGATACAGGTGCTTTCCAGTCATGTCAACTTCAGGACATATAGTGTCTCTTTTTAATGATACTTTATGTATGCTGTTGCTTTTAAGTGCTGCTGTTCAGCTAAACCAATATTTCTTAATCTGCCATTCTCTAGTCAGTGATACTCATTTGTATCTTAACACCCAAAATCACTCTATTAAAATCCTAAGTCCCTTCAAGATAGAAACAAAAAGTCTACTTTTACTGATAAATACACACTATTTTTGCAGACATTTTGTTATTATATTTAGCAAATACAGTATGTTTTAAGGAGCTAAACATTCCACTAACTATTTTTACTATAAAGTAATGAATAAGAACTGAGACTAAAGCAATGTTGCTACTATGGGAGCAGATGTTTCCTAAGTGGAATCCAAAGATGACATCCAAATAACTAGAGAGAGCAAATTAGTGCAATATGTTACTTCATTTTGGCTTCTAAGGCAGAGGAGATGTTCTGCTGATATTCTTAGTTGCCAGGTACATTCTGCTGTGGTCATCAGCTCCACTTTTTGTGGATCCATCTTCAGCCTACCATTTATTCCCTGGAAATCTGACAATGGTATCCTTTTGGACTGCCTGTGAGGGTTGGGGAAGAGAGGTGTTGTTTTACAATGGTTCCATATCTACCCTAGTGGCTGGCTTCAGACTGTGTTGATGGGGTAGGAGAGATCAGCCCGGTGCCCCTGATTTGTGGTATGCTGCAGGGCTCAGTCCTGTCTCTCCTGCTTTTTAACATCTATATAAAGCAGCTGGGAGAGATTATCTGGCAGTTCAGGGTGCAGTATCATCAAAATGCTGATGATACCCAATTGTACATCATCATGCTCAGCCATGGGGAACATGCTGCTGCCACCAGTTCCTAGTGTCTGGATGGGAGAAAGCAGACTGAAGTTGAATCATGATATGTCATCGTTGCTGTTGACACTTTGGGGTCCTTTGTCACCACCAGTGTTACTCTTTGATGGGCAGGCATTACCCTTCAGGGAGCTGGTTCATGACCTAGGAGTGTTTCGGCACTCACAGATCCTACAGGATCAGCAGGTGGAAGTCACAATGAGAGAGGCCTGTGCCCAGCTTTGGCTGGTGTACCAGTTGCAGCCATATCAGACGTCGGAAGATCTGGCTTCAGTAGCCCCATGTCCTTTTTGCCACCTGGTCGGACTACTGTAATGCACTCTATTTGGAGCAGTTCTTAAAGAGTATTTGGAAACTACAGTTAGTCCAAAATGCAGCATCCTTTTGGGCTCCTGGCATTGGGAGCATATTACAACCGTTTTGTGGATCCTGCATTGGTTGCTAAGTGGTTTCTAGATCCAATTTAACATGCTGGTGTTGACCCATAAATCCGTTTATGGCTCGGCACCCGGATAACTTCAGGACTGCCTATTTCACTCAGTATCAGCCCTGCTAATTTGATCTACCAAGGACAAACTGCTGCAAATCCCACACTTTTGTGAGGTTTAGGGGCTGAGGTGAGGTGCTGCTGCTGTTATGTAGCAGCACTGAAGTTGTGAAATAGTATAAAACTGATCAAACTGGTTCCCTCTTTCTTGGTCTTTTAGAAGTTCTTGAAGACCAAACTCTTTTGGAGAGCTTTCCTCTGATATAACTGCTGCCCTCTGAATTATATCTGATATGTATCTTACATTGTATAGTTTTTATTATTCTATTGTTTTAGTAGTTTTATTCTAACCATGGATGTTTTAATTTATATTTGTTCTATATAAGCCTTGTGGGGTTTTTATTGATTGTGGCAACATAGAAACATGTTTGATAAATGAACAAATCTTTCTGGAGTTTTTAAGTCTGGAAATCACACACATTTCTAGGTAAAATGTTTGCTTGTTTGTTTTTCTGATTGTAACTTTTTGTTCTGAAAAGAAATTCAATCCCTTTTAATTTATTTATTTTATTTTATTTTAAAAATATCTAAACCGCTTTGAATCCTAAAACCAATCCTACAAACAAAATGTTATTTTTTCCCAAGAATATATGTGTACAGGACTAATGATATTGCAAAATTTAACTTTACATAAGGGTTATAATTTATAATTAAAATATATTTATGATTTTATGTTAAATTAATATTAAATTTTTGAAATAAAATTTAATCTTTTTACACAGCAATTTCTTGCCTTGTGAGAATAAGAGTTTTTTACAAAAATGCATTTTGCTTCTAATAATAATTACTTCACATTAGTTGATCTCTTTTATTTCCTTTCTGCATTTTGCTGTTGTTTTATGGGTTCTTTCTGTAAATTTGGAATCAGTTGTGTTTTTTATTTTGGGGAATCAGTGCTATAGATATTTACATAGTTATCTGATTGATTAAAAATAGTATAATAATTTTAAGAACACACTTGATCTGAGATTTGCAAGTGATAAACCACTGCTTCCTGAAGAAATGTGAAGTAATGGCTATCACAGAATTTTGCATTTACTGTTCCCAATATATGGAAGTTCCACTTAACTGTTACAGTAATCCTTTTTCAGAGCCATTTAAACTACTGACAGTCTCTATGGGTTGGGTGGCTAGTCATAGAGTGGACACATTGAAATAAATGGGAACAGAGTTAGCCATTGACTTCAGAGGACTGTAACAATCTCATATCATGTATCTGTGTATTCCCCAGATTAATTCTGCATTATGTGAAATATATGTTTTATCATTTCACAAATGGTACAAAAAGCAGCTTTTTAAACTACTTTAGGAATTTCAGTACAGAGTGAAAGATGTCCATTTTATAGCTAAGATTACAGAAATAAGAAAACTATTCTCTTGGCAAGCTTAACAGTCAGTTAAAACAGGTTAGCCATTTCCAAACTATTAACTATACTCTAAATGTTAGGATCAGTTTTACTGTTTATCAACAATCCTAAGCATGTCCAAAAAATTTTGCAATGGTATTTTAATGTTAAACATGATGTAAATATGACCTTCCAGGGGATTAGCTGTGGTTCTTTTGCAACAAAAATCTTGTGGTAGCATGTAAGTACCAGGCTAGAAAGGAGGAGACTGTGAGTTCTAGTCCCACCTTAGACATGAAAGCCACCTGGGTGACTTTGGGCCAATCAGTCTCTCTCAGCCCAATTCACCTCACCGGATTGTTGTGGAGAAAATAGGAGGAGGAAGCAGTATTAGATATATTCGTCACCTTGAGTTATTTATAAAAATAATAAAGGCAGGATAAAAAAACTAAAAAAAAATGGCAGTCTACTTCATGAAATGCATTGAGTACTACCTTGTTACAGATTACATTATGCCCATGATTGGAATGGCATAGGTAGAATAGAAATAATTATATCAGAGTACGATTACATTCAGAAGATACAAAGAATACTAGTTATTTTAATAGTGCTAGCCATTTTAAAAAAGTGTGACAAAGCTTCTAATATTGGTGAACTGATAAACTACGTAGTGCAGAAATATATAACATTAAACCCCGGGGTCCTGGTGCAGCCTCTGTAAACTTCCAGAAATTTTTCCCAGGCTGTAACTTTGAATGTGATAGAATGTGATATTTATTATAGACTTGCTATAACTAATTTTAATTAAACGAAATGAAATTTACTTTTCCATAGTGTTCTACTTCACTACCTTTTGGAGTATGACATATAGCATGACATTCACAACACACGTGCACACACTAACAAAATTTCATGCCCCTGATGTATTAAGAGCTTTTGTTCTCTGATCCATGGGAAATAGAGCTGAATTGTTATATTCTTTAATACAGAGTCCTGAGTGTGGTTGTAGGTAGCACATTCTTTAGAGAAGGCTAATTACACAACTTGAGAATCAAACTTTTGTTAAGTTCATTTTTTATTTTTTAATACAAAACTGTCGTTAAGTGTTTGTAGTTAGTGTTTGATTTATTATCTTGTGGTATACTCTGAACAGTTTGCTGTTGGCCTAGTAATTGAAATAGGTTTGCATTTTCCTGTAAAAAAATATATAAAGCAGCAAAGGATTGCACTTTTCTTATTTATATTTGATTTTTTTTCCCATTTTTGCCTATAAATGGGAAGGTTTCTATTTTTCCTTGTGTGTTTTTGAATATGCTTTCCCTTTTCCTGGCCAAATAAAGGATTTATTTAAAAGAAAATTCAAACAGATGTTAATCCTACAATTTGCTAATTATGAATCTACATAAAGCATAAAAATTCATTCTTTAAAAAACTGTGAATGCCCACTTATAAAACATTTATTTAGTTTTGCTAGATAATTCAGGTGCTTATTGCCTCTTCCAGGTTTTATGCAAAACACAGCCAACAGAAGTGAGTCATGAATGTTACTCTGCAGCAAAAATATGATTGTTTGTGGGGGGAAGTGCAAAAACTTGCTTTGTACATGGAAACTTCAGTCATGTGAAATGCATATAACAACTGAATGGGCCTTTTACAAAGTATGAATTCAACAAGCTTTCAAAAGTTGAATTACAAACTTTATGCATAGTGTTGCAACAGACACATCCTGTTTGTAGATTATTTTTTTTTAAGTCCAGAACAAGGAGTGCCAAATATGGTAATAGTATTAAGCTACAGAATTCCTTACAGTTCTGTCATCATGCTTCAAAACAGCCTTCCCGAAGTATTTACCCTCACAGATGTATTAACTTCAGTTTCCTTTATTTCCAGCCAAGATGGTCATATTGGCTGAGGACAATAAATGTTGTAGTCCATCTTAGGGAGTTCCAAGTTGGGTAAAGCTGCTTTGAGAGAATATTGTTTATCCTGCAACTCATGGCTTGCTACAGTAGTTCACTGTATTACTTTAGACATTGTCTTTAGGTTTTTTTTTTTTCATTATAAAATAGACTCTTTGTGGAATACCTTAAGACAGCCCTTCCTAACCTTTTTAGCTTGGAGGAATCCTTGAAATAATGTTCAGGTATCTGGGAATCCTTGCCTAAAAATAGCAAAAAATAAGAAAATATCACAATATAATTCACTTGTAACCAAAACAATACATATTTTTCAATACTTACAACAACAGGTGTAAGGCTGGCAGCTGAGTCATGGTATAAAAATTACCACCACTGATCTCCCAGTTTAGAAGTCACAGCCCCGAGTGCTCCTACCACCACTGGGACTACTTTGGCCTTTACTTTCCACATCCTCTCTAGTTCCTCCTTCACGCCTGATACTTTTCCAGCTTCTCATACTCCTTCTTCCTGATTATACTGTCACTTGCTACTGCTACATCTATCACCACCGCTGTCTTCTGGTCCTTGTCTACTACTGCAGTGTCTGGTTGATTGGCCAGTACCTGCCTGTCTGTCTGGATCTGGAATTCCCACAGGACTTAGCCCTGTTATTCTCCACAACCTTCTGTGGAATCTCCCATCTGGACTTGGGAGGGTTTAGCTCATATACTGTGCAGATGTTCCTATACACAGTGCCAGCTAATTAGTGTGCCGTTCAGTGTATGCTGTTCCTGCCTGCATCTTACACCCTGCCACTATGTGTTGGACTGTCTCTGAGACTTCTCTGCACAGTGTGTACCATGTGGTCCTGTCTAGTGTGGTAGGCCCCTGCTTGTATGGATCAGGTGCTTGGTACGCTATATATCAAATGTAGCATGTCTGTCTTAAATGTAGTAACTGACAATGACGTAGGCAATTTTCTAAATAAATTGTTGAGCATTTGGAAGTCTGAAATATTTTATGACCTGTTTGGAGTCATTGATGCTTATCTGTAAAATAGATGTGGAATTGCCTCATGGACATGCTACAGTAAAAAAGATGGGCATAATTTAAGACAGTCATTCCAAATCACTTGCTGCAAGTAACTTAACACAAGTTGCTATTTATTTGCATAATTCACGGTAGATACTGGCACTACTACTATGGGGAATATGGAAATAATTTTGATAATTCTATTATGTGTCAAATATGTTAAATTATAAGTTGTGTTTTTACACAGCACAACGCCAGATGATGAAGTTTCTAATAGATGTTCACGTACAGACAGGACAGGATACAGCAGGTACAACAGGGATGCAAATTCTTCTGGAAACTTTGTATCAACTACTTCTTTGGAAAAGAAGATTGAAGATCTTGAGAAGGTAAATATTATTACATAACAAATATGATAGCTGCAGTCCAGTGTTTATTGTTTTCATTGTTTATAAATTTTGTTTTTTGAAGGATCTAGCAAAGGAGCGACAAGAAAACCTGAGGCTTGTGAGGATAGCCCAAGACAAAGAAGAGTTGATTGGAAAATTGAAGGAGGAAATTGATTTATTAAATAGGGTAAGTGCTTCTTCAACCCACCTGTGTTCCTAGGATTTCTATACAAGTCACACACCCCACCCCCTCACCCCAAATTTGGATTAACTTTTGTGGATAATCCAGCAGCACATTGATGCTCATTTATTTGTTCACTCTTTTATTAATTCTTTCTTCTTTCAAAGAATTCAGGAGAGAAGTGTACTTGTAATTTCTTTTCTTTAGAAGAGAAGAGATTTTGGCAACAGAAGGTTGGCTTGCAAGGTAGTCTTAGATTAGAGATCTTACCTAGCTTGAATAGAGTAGCATGAGCAAGTTTGGAGTAAAACTGGTCTTTGGCTGTGCTTGTACCATACTGGTCAAAATATGCCAAAAAGAGCTGGTACAGTTCTTAGCAGGGAATCCTGCATGTGGCAGAAGTACAACTAAGACTGGTGCCCTAATCTACTCCTCCTCTATCTTTCTAAAAAGCATTGACCAAAGGCATGATGGGTGGCAGATGGCAATATTTCTGGACTCATCTGGTGTTGACCGTAGCACATGGAAGAGTGCTCTTTGGATTGTAAGGAGCATAAATGGTAAAGAGTATGAATTAATGAATAAAAGGAAAGAAAAGAATATATATATAAGAAACGGGGAAGGATGTAATAGTTCTGACAGAAGAACCTATGGAATTGAGTTGATGAATATATGTAAGGAATGAAAGTGCAAGTTTAATTATGAATGACAGGCCTGAAATGTATGTTGTAGAGTATATCATCTAGACTTTTGTGGGTGCATATGAAAGTAGGAGTGCATATGAAAGTGGTAGTTGAAGGCATTAGGGAGAACATGAGGTAATTGGCAGCAGTGCAGAATGATAAAGGAAAAAGTACAGCAGGCTCATCAGAGATGGACAGAGCAGCATGTGAAGCATGTAGCAGTGGGGCAGCTAGAAAGAGTGAATAGTGATCAGGTGAGAGTAGTTAATTAACCATTTGTAAATGTTTTGTGTGAGTTAAAAGTTGTTTCTGAATGCTATAGGAATGGTATGTGATGAAAACAAAGCATTTATGACAATAAATAGAATGCATAATGAATGGTTCAATATTCACTGAGGGAGTTTTTTGTAGTATTTGTCTTGATGGTAGCAAGATCCACTTGTTTTTGTACTGCGCTCACCTAGTTCTTACAGCAAAGCTATCAATACATGATTCAAAAAGGATTTTGTTTACCAGCTGAATGGTTGCAAACAATGATTAGGAGTGAGAGTGAGTGACAGGCCCAAGGTTACCCAGCTGGGCCTAAGGGAAGACTAGAATCTGGGTCTCCCTGCTCCTAGTCCAGCTCTTTCACCACTGCACTATGCTGGCTCTCTCTCAACACTGAGGGAGTAAGATAAAAGAATCTGTTGTCTACTTGGTTGTTTAATATATTCAGGAGTACATGTATAGGAATGATTTTGGTGATGATAGAGGTGTGTTGGATGGGGACGTGAACATGTATATACTTTTATATGCAGATGGTATTGAGTTGCTGACTGAAGACCTGAATAATTTACACCGAAAATTAGTTTGTATAATGCAGTGAAAGAGCATGGATCTGAAAAATAACATATTGAAGACAAAGATAGCTCTGTTTAACAAGAGAATGGAGTGAATGATTGCAATTTACAGTAAATAGTGAAAAATTAGAGCAAGTATTTTGGTAAAATGTTTAGCAAAGATGGAGAAATGGGTAGAGAAATTCTAAGATGGGAAAATGCTGGTAGAAAGGTAGTTGGTTTTTAGTGGCCTCTAATAGTTGGGAGTAAGAATGTTTGTTGAAATAAGTGAAAATGGCTATATAAAAGAGCATGCTGCTCATTTTGTCATGTGAAATTGAGAGTTGGGTATATAAGGAAAAACATTAAGTTGAA